CTCGCATAGCCTACCTTAGTTTAGTAGCCTAGGAAGAATGACCCCCAGAGGCTGTTTAATTCGATATCTAGATGCCGGTTTCCGTTTAATTATATTACTTATTTGTGAACGACAGCAAGTATAGCTGCTTTCATCGTTAGCTGCACATAATTGAAACGGGGAACGCAGCCGTGCACCACAAATTTTGTACACCAATAAGCCCTGAATCGAACGCCTTGGATCTCTCCGGACATCCACCAATCAGCCGTGAATGGAACCTTCTATCCGTAACCGATCCTTGACATCCTTCTGCTTTAAATATTTTGAGCTCTACACCCCCCAGACACGAGGTCTAATAGCCTACGGTCGAATGGCCGTCCACCACTGAACGTTGCGTAGAAGCATCACTTCATACCCTGGCCACCGCTCGAATTGGAACTTGCGCGCAACAGCCTGCGACAACTTGGCTTTGCCCACCTCCGGCCTCGCATAAAACCTGCCGTGCACCACCTGGCCGTCGGTCGAAAGAGCCGTGCGACTGGCTGAGTCAGGTTAGGTTAGGTTAGGTTAGGTTGGGTTAGCACTCGGCTGGAGCGTTCGACTCGCGGGCGTTCGACCGAGGGCTGGTTCGACGCACTGCCTAGATACGGACGGCTTGGTGGCGGATATCACATTCGCTGCAAGGCTCCGGCGCGCTACGTCCGAGTGGTGTAGAATTTTTTCGCGGTGCGGCGGACGATGCTAGGCCATTCGATCGCCGGCTGTTTCTCCTGAGGGCTGATTGGTGTAATTCAATTGATTCGTTCTGTCTGGTGGCTTTCGGCTGCCTATATGATTTTCTAGAAGTGTTGAAGGTTACGTTCCGGAGGGCAGGAGTCATGATAGTCCATTACATCCAGGGCAGTGGTGGTCTTCGGCAGGCTTCCCCTTTCACGGCTGATTGGTGGATGTCCGGAGAGATCCAAGGCGTTCGATTCAGGGCTTATTGGTGTACAAAATTTGTGGTGCACGGCTGCGCTCCCGAAACGCATAGCTGCACATAATTAAAAAAAAAAAAATTATAAATGGCAGAATGATTTCGTTTGTTTTCGATTTGGGTGGCGAGTTTCCCGCAAGGTTTAATCATCTTGAATGCATTGCATTTAACGAGGATTGATCCCATACCCATATCCTATGCGAACCTGTGAACGAATAAAGGCATCCAGTTACAATTCATCACGCACATGATAACGTTGGGCACACACCGTTTCCGTGTACTTGCTTAATTTTCTCTGTTATTTACCTTGACTAGGAATTGTTGTGAAGCTTCTACCAAAACATTCAACATCGGCCACAGAAATCCGTTCAAGCCGGAATGGGACACCCCCAACGCAACATAACGACCTCTGATCATGAGTTTATTGTTATTTAGTCCAATGTGGAAATATGAATTGTCAAGCAACGAATTAGTCGATTGTACACTCAGATTAATGCTAAAGACCGGAGTACGACTTGCTGAAAAATGTGGACCTGCTATACTGTGCTGTAACTCAACCCCTAGCGAAAAAATTACCTCTGGCATCGTGTATGGAAGGTACAGGGTGACACAAAAAAAACAGAGCTCATAAAAAGTTGAATAATTTCCACAATACTCAAGTAATCCTGTTATTTGTTTCAGATTCATTATATCTGGAACATATCTTTGAGCGGCTGTAGAACAAAGAGTTTTTGTGGTATAGAATTGAGATTTTGCAGATGTTGGCTACATAGGTTGTACATAATTCCATAGAATTTTTGTTTCAAACTGAATAAAATTTCAGGAGTTATAAGACTTTTAGTGAGCTCTGTTTTTTTTGTGTCACCCTGTAATACAGATTTGCTAGAACATTATTTGCTGCAATACTGAAATGTGGCATTGTTTTTCCGTCCGTTCTTACGTAGCCACTTCATCCCAAGGGGTACAAATTGGTTGATGCCACTGGTATAAAGCACAGTGTACATGATGTATCTACAATTTTGTTAGTTATCTATCGATTCAAGCGATCATTTTTCGCAAGATTTCATGCTTCAGGAGTCGTCCCACCAATCGCTTAGATACCCATTACGGCCTAAGTACACGTTGTGGCCGATTTTTATCCATGATTAGTGCCTTGAATGCCGTCAGTAATCGGCTGTCGGAGTTACAAAGACACAAGATAGTACAACTATTGATACTGTAACTGTTATGCTGTAACTATTTTTGATAGTACCGCCCATGAGTATATAATTAAGCGAAGACGTACGCTATAGTTCTCACCGTGCCTACCTCCAACAGGGATATTTAACGACGTTTAATGCGAAGGACGTAGAGCGCCGGGGCGTCATCACTGTGGACCGCGAGCAGTTCCTGGACATGATCTTCAGGACAAAGCTATAATCTTGGGACTTGCGGCGCCTGCGTGCGGTGCCCTTAACCGCTGTACGCGATAAGCTTACAGTCCTTACTGCCAGCTACAGTTGTTACCAGAATCATGTCGAGTTAGTCTCTTCCAGCTACCGTAAATATCACATTAAGATTTACTGCCACCTGATGTTATAACAGTTCCATCAAGTTAGTCTCTTCAAGCTAGTTTTTCACAGTATTGTCGAGTTTTCCACTAGTTGTTGAAGTTTGTATCAACAAGCACTACTCGGTACTCACATCCATGGTTGAACTATATCTACTAGTTCAACCATGCTCACATCCTCGACGTTTGTAGTCGCTTGTATTTTCATATTACTGCCGAATTGTTATACTTCATTTTCATTGGTAATATTAATTGCTCATTGTGGCATGTTACCAACAGACTGAAATGATCATGGTTCGCGAGAATTTCAGTTCTGGTTGCTTATTTTAAACATTCACAAATATTGTCCAAAAAGTACCGGTAGTATTGTTGATAATTTACCCCATTTGAGTGATGCTCTCTTATTATACTTGTGAACCATTCCCTTCTTGTGACGTCTTGAATTGCTAGCATCGCTCGTCTTGTAATGTTGTCGTGCTTCTTTGAATTTCCTACTGGCTTTCTGCCTCGTATTGAGCAGGAAGTTGTCGATTAGACAATTGTCACTTTCAGAATATCTTCTGTGGATAAATGGTGCTATTCTGAGGGTCAATATTGCCACTATTCTTAGCTGGTTTCCTGAGATTATTCCGGAGGGGTGAGCAGCGTGATCCTGGAGTCATTCCTCGTCTGATTCTGAAGTAACTCCTGGGGTGATATTGAGGTTATCCCAGTGGTGAATGATCATCTTCGTGATTATTCTCGACAATCGTATAAGATGGAAGTCTTTTTGCCCTCCGTAGCGAGAACCTACCTCTGCTCTTATTCTCTCGTCCCGGGCACATGTCTTTCTTTTTATCTTGGACATTTTGCGTGCAGGTTTTAGTCAGGCCTAGTCATTGTTAGAATTCGGGCTCCGACGACATCGTTTTTTAATCACTCCTTTCGTATGAAGTTCTCACTTTAGTCGTTTAGTTTGCTCCTTGTTAGATGCTCGACTTCAAGCAACCTTATCTTGATTAAAACATTGCTGTATTTGCGATTTTATTCCAGCTTATATTGTATCGAAGCCAAATTGTAGTTAATAATTTCTAGGGACGACGTACATCACAATTGAAAACTAGCGCATTGACTGTATATGTACGCTATTCCTTGGTTAGGTTTAGGTTGTGGAGGTTAGGTTTGAAGTTATGGAGGCAATGTTTAGTTCAATTTCGTTCAATCCACTCCTACTCTTATTTACTGTGAATTTATTTCTTTAGTTTCAACTTCATAAGTTTTGGCCTCACGGTAAAAGGAACTAGTCTTCGTTTGTGTGAACCGGTTCACGGTGGACGCATATTATAAGATATTCCTCGACCTGTTCTTCTCGAATGCCTAGGTATCGTAGAATGTTGATTCATCGGCTGTACTAAAATGTGATTTTAATTCTTGCCGTAATAATCTCTCTTGTTCTTATTGTGAAATAATTTTATTGGTTTGTCCGGTTGTACGCCTTGTCTCAGCACAAAGGATGGGAACTTCAGATTCACGCTTAATCTCACGTAAACTGTCTCAACTCGACAGGTTCCCATTTCAAGAGGTCGGGGCATGCGTCAGGAACTTGTAAATACCCTTACAATTTTATAAATTACTTACATAGCAAGAATATTTTAATGCAGTTCTAATTCTACCTGAGGTATGTTTATTAGCAGTAATGCCCCCAATTCAGTGCACCATGAATTGTCGCCAGTGACTCGTATGCATTTGGCACAATATGCATTACACTTTCATTTCAGGGAATAGAGTATTTCTTGCTGAAGTCCAAGTCAGAAGCTTTTGTTAAGACTGATGCTGAAGACTTGACTTGAAACGAGCATGTCTAGAAGTAGGTTTTTGTAACACGTGATTATTTTAACTAATTGGCAAATAAACTTTGGATTAATTGCAACAAGACCTTTCCTCTCCAACGTTTTCAATAGTGTCAAATCTGTTGCCTGATTCTTGCAGGTCTTACAAACTGTTAGAAGCGATTGAAATGCCACAAGCAACATAAGTTGTTCGTTTCTGAAATGTATACTCGTACAAAACTATATGTACTCTTAAAGTGTCGTAAGGGTGAGAATTATTGTTCAGTGCGTGACTGGCATAATGATCAGATGGCAGGAATCGACTGGCGTTCTTGTGGAGATTCTAACCTTAGGGTACGCACACAGTGAAAGCAGGTTGCCAGCGTGCTGGTTACCTGTTCAGGCTGGCGCCTGAAACCATAGAATACAAAAGCCTATTCGTACAGGTTTTCACTGTGAACACTTGCATTATTACCCTATGTTCATTCTTGTGGCAGGTTGGAGAAGGTTGCCCGCGCGGGCAAAACTGCTTTCACTGTGTGCGTACCCATACAATCGAGCCTCCCTACAAGTCTCTGGGTTCAAGTATGTAGTTATACATCATAACGTGAATAGTTATCATTCTGTACGTAATGGAAGCCAGTATATTCTCGATCAAGTCGACTGTTCTTTAGGGAAACAAGACTAGTGGTTTCTGACGAGTGTATTTTCCATTCCTGAAATTGTGACAATCTGTTTACTACAAGGGGTTTCAAGCTAAAAAGATAACGATTAATCAACATGAAAGATGACGCGCTACCAAATGTATGCATGGAATGCGAACAAAATCAGTCCACCATCATTCGTGGTCATTACATTTGATCAAAGAAAAACTCCGTTGTGCCCTTTACTTGGTTTTTATGACAACTGACATTTCAACAAGCACTGTTTGGCTACTTGAAGATTCTACGTGAAGTATAAAACATGTTTATTCATCTTATTTTGTAACGATGATATTAAGCACCCAAAAAAATACAGCAGAAAATTGAATAATTACTGAAAATTTATTTAGTATTGTCAAGTATATGATGACGTGGTGCCAATTTCGTAACTAACACCAGTTATGATTGAGACGCGAGAAAGACTTGAACTAGACTTGAAATAAAAACGGAGATCCGAAGGTGAAAGTTTACTGAAACTAAACAAAACTCTTATGCAGTTTGTTGCTGCCCTAAAGGATTCTTGACTACGATGATTACCGAATCACCACGTAGGAACATCTTTTGGATGAATCTGGAAAGATAGAATTAATGCATCAGTTTCTCTTTAAGGAAGGAAATAATGAATGACAAATGGAATCAGTAAGCTATGTCTTCCAAATTCAATTAGTCATGATGACTAAAGCAATATCGAAAGTTTAATATAGGGACCAAAATATTCATTCTTCAGTTTCATTCGTACATTTCGTTTTGGAATGGAGAAAGTCTTAGTAGTATAAGATAATAGATACATGTTTGAAGCAAATCTAGATTTTTTAATTTAGCTGGATTACACGCACAAGTTTGTCCTTAGCTAAAGACGCCTGATAACCTCACCTCTCTCTATTAACAGGTTTAGCCTTCTTCTGTCCCTTGTCAGTCTTAGGTTGCTCCATCCAGATTTCTGTGACCTGCTCCAGCACCATGTTGAAATGTCTATCAAAGGCCTTCACACGTCCAAGCAGCTTCTTGTTGTTGCGGCAATTAATCAAAATCTGAAAAAATATAAGCATTTGCAATGAATAAATATTATATTTTCATTAGCACTAAGAAAATTAAATTCTTATTGAAATATTTATATTAATTGGTACAAGATTAAATTGAAGCAAAGAAAGTGAATATCATCAATGTACTTTCAGTATTTATAAAAAAATTCATATAGATGATTTTAAGTTCAACAGAAAGATAGTTGACAACTGTCAAGACTTGGCCATCAATTTTCCAAAAATTTCCTGACACATCAGGACAATACAGTTGAGCATACAGCAATCCTTGATATCTGTGCCAGTCTGCCAGATTGTATACTGCAAAATAAATTTACCATAAAATTGTATTTTCATATTACACTACAAGTGAGAATATGGCATATTAGTATACTCCTTGTCTCACTTCAAATGTTCTACAAGTTACTTGTACAATTTAAAAAATTGGAGAGTTAAAACTTTGCTTCAAGTTAGCATTTACTGGATGCATATTTTAGCTATTTCAAAGCAACTCCAATCAGCATGAAAAAAAATTAATCTGGCATGCCAAGTGCACAATCCTGAACATGCTATGTATGATGAATACATATCTATTTTTTCAATTAAAAATCATATACAGAGCTGCAAAAATTATATGAAAGATTTATAGTAAAGAGCACAGCTCCAAAACCAAAGAGGCAGTACAATAATCTCCAGTTCACCATAACAGAAGTTGTGATTGCAATACCCAAGCTTGAATGAGCCATAACTGCTCATAGGTAGTTTTTCACATACAACGTGGCTAATTTCTGCCATAAAAACTGAAGGGACCTCATTTTGTTCTATAGACATTATTTTTCAACAAAATAATCATTGTAGAAACAAGAAGTACCATGCTTCTGCCAAAAACAGTTTCAGTGATTATCTTGGAGTTGCTGTCATGTCTGATATTATTTACAAATTACAGTAATAGGTAGATGTTATAAAACTACAATATAACTTCTATAAAAACAAAAATTACATTAATATTTAGCAAAATGTCTCAACAGAAAAGAATATTTTTTGTGTAGTTTTTTTATGGCAAAATTAACATATTTGATGTAAAACTTGCAGCTCAAAAATTTTTTCTGAAAAATGGGAAAGTGATTCACCAGTTAAAAATGGAGTAAAGGGGCTCTGATTTTTTTTTCACATCTGCAAAAATGTTACGAAAAATTAGTTGCTGCATAGAAAGTAAAATAGATAATTCAAGTTTCTGTCTATCAGAAACCCTTTCAGAAATTCTAGGAATTTTTTGTTTGCTATCATACAAAGCTAGTATAAAAATACATTTTCAATGGCAGTCTAAAAAAATGATGATGAAATAATAAATTATATTATATATACAATTCTACGGAAAACAATCAAACATTATTATAATTTATTTATGTTATTTATTAATTTTTTGGGGGGGCTTCTGATTGCAGTTTACTTTTTCTATTTAGGTAGTAATAGGAGGGCCAAAGGCCAGTCAAATAAAAATACAACTGTCCATATTTATAAGTAAATAGCTTTTAAAATTTTACCGCTTAACCAACCTGTGTATTATTCTGCACAGACTCATTGAGGATCCGCAGGGGCCCAGTTGCAAATTCTTCTTTTTCCATAGCTGCCAGCTCCTCTGGAGTCATGTCACTCCTCTTCTTAGTAGTCCTAGAATATCACCTTTTTTATAATAAACATACAACACTAAGCAAAGAACAATTGAATGAAGTTTTATGCTGCAGCTTCTTTCCAAAAGCAAGATATACATGCAGGCTTGAGTTAGTTAGGAAGCATGTTGAAATTTGAACAGAATGCCATGACATGAGAATCAACTTCAATCAAGTTTCTATTCGTAACAACATCAAACATCGAAATAAAATAATGAAAAATGACCTGCCCACTATTTTACACGTTTAAATAGTAACTTACGCCATTGCTGTGAACTTTTTGTTTGATAGTGACAAATCACTGACTTCAAAAACGTTTAGCTCCCGCTCGCAAAAATTGTTTACATGTGTTGCCAAACACGATGCTCAAAGCCTCAAGTGCCCGCACGGAAGAAAATACCTTATAAGATGAAAGTTCCTTCATTTGCAACCTTTTAATTTTGAAATAAAATCGACTATTTAACTTACAATAGATTTCATGTTGATTAAAATTACATTTTATGTAATGAGGCATGATAAATTTTCCAGAGAATATTCATACACCATATATCATCCCGACATGTGTTTTCTGTTACTTATCAAATAAACAACTTATAAATTATGCGAATGATATTTTATCGTTTCTTTTAACGTAAAATGAATTATAATGATCAACATGTTACAAATTAGATGATACCTTGAAGATTCAATTCCTGTCGATTTAGGGTATTTTTAATTATACTGAAAAGAATGGTCTTTAATCTTCATTCTGGTTCCTCTAGAGTCTAGAATATTGCGACGCCATCTTTACAGTCGAAGCGTGTGCCGGGTTTCGTTGGTGTTGCGTGGCGAACTATATATTTGCGTAGAAACTGTCGATTGCATTTTGAGTGGTAAGTGCTTAATTTTTTATTATTACTGAAATTTATTTTGTAAGTTCTATGGAAGTCATGTCGTAAAATTAGTTCCTTTTAGAATTTTAGAATTGACTTCGAACCTTTTTCCAAGGCCTGAGACTGAGAATCTGTGTCAAATAACCTAGGTAATTAGGTTCTGTGATATGAATTATGAAGTAGGCAGCACTCAGCAGTGTAGGCTAATGTTTTAAAGACTTCTTTGCTAATTTTTTCTCCCAAACATGCAATCGAAGAAATTAAATACAATGTATTACTATGCAATCAAATATGAATTAATGTTTATTGTTTAAAGATGTGAAATGCAATTTCAAGCAAATATTCCTAGTAAATGTTTTCTGAAATTCTGACAATCTGATTTGAGCCTAGATTTTTGGAGCCACCAGCAGCCAGATTAAGACTTTTTCACTGTAATTACTACTGGTAGTTTATAAAGTATATAGTTGTTTAATTTGCAGCATGAAACTCGTTTGGTTTTTTAGCTATATCAAAATTTGTTCATTAGGCTATAAGTCATAGTGGAAGTCTATGAAGAGAGGTACTTATGTCGGTCCACCGCCGTGCGGCGGTCCGCGGTCTTAACCCTTTGCAAGGCCCCATGGGCCCATGCCCTTGGCCCTTGGGCCCCTGTTGCAAGTTGCAATGGTCTAAACTCAACAGTTCGACTCCCATGGTCTCATCACAACTCCCTTTAGAAATATGTAAAGTTTTGAAATTGATATAAATATATCAATAAATATTTGAACTGGGAAATTCCTTAGTTACTTACATTGGTTCCAGAATGATATCAATGACGTAAAAAATGACAATGACAATTATGACATTGGTTAAGAAGCTTCAGCCATGATCTCAGCTCTGCTCAGTCCTTTTACCTNTTTTTTTTTTTTTTTTTTTTTTTTTTTTTTTTTTTTTTTTTTTTTTTTTTTTTTTTTTTTTTTTTTTTTTTTTTTTTTTTTTTTTTTTTTTTTTTTTTTTTTTTTTTTTTTTTTTTTTTTTTTTTTTTTTTTTTTTTTTTTTTTTTTTTTTTTTTTTTTTTTTTTTTTTTTTTTTTTTTTTTTTTTTTTTTTTTTTTTTTTTTTTTTTTTTTTTTTTTTTTTTTTTTTTTTTTTTTTTTTTTTTTTTTTTTTTTTTTTTTTTTTTTTTTTTTTTTTTTTTTTTTTTTTTTTTTTTTTTTTTTTTTTTTTTTTTTTTTTTTTTTTTTTTTTTTTTTTTTTTTTTTTTTTTTTTTTTTTTTTTTTTTTTTTTTTTTTTTTTTTTTTTTTTTTTTTTTTTTTTTTTTTTTTTTTTTTTTTTTTTTTTTTTTTTTTTTTTTTTTTTTTTTTTTTTTTTTTTTTTTTTTTTTTTTTTTTTTTTTTTTTTTTTTTTTTTTTTTTTTTTTTTTTTTTTTTTTTTTTTTTTTTTTTTTTTTTTTTTTTTTTTTTTTTTTTTTTTTTTTTTTTTTTTTTTTTTTTTTTTTTTTTTTTTTTTTTTTTTTTTTTTTTTTTTTTTTTTTTTTTTTTTTTTTTTTTTTTTTTTTTTTTTTTTTTTTTTTTTTTTTTTTTTTTTTTTTTTTTTTTTTTTTTTTTTTTTTTTTTTTTTTTTTTTTTTTTTTTTTTTTTTTTTTTTTTTTTTTTTTTTTTTTTTTTTTTTTTTTTTTTTTTTTTTTTTTTTTTTTTTTTTTTTTTTTTTTTTTTTTTTTTTTTTTTTTTTTTTTTTTTTTTTTTTTTTTTTTTTTTTTTTTTTTTTTTTTTTTTTTTTTTTTTTTTTTTTTTTTTTTTTTTTTTTTTTTTTTTTTTTTTTTTTTTTTTTTTTTTTTTTTTTTTTTTTTTTTTTTTTTTTTTTTTTTTTTTTTTTTTTTTTTTTTTTTTTTTTTTTTTTTTTTTTTTTTTTTTTTTTTTTTTTTTTTTTTTTTTTTTTTTTTTTTTTTTTTTTTTTTTTTTTTTTTTTTTTTTTTTTTTTTTTTTTTTTTTTTTTTTTTTTTTTTTTTTTTTTTTTTTTTTTTTTTTTTTTTTTTTTTTTTTTTTTTTTTTTTTTTTTTTTTTTTTTTTTTTTTTTTTTTTTTTTTTTTTTTTTTTTTTTTTTTTTTTTTTTTTTTTTTTTTTTTTTTTTTTTTTTTTTTTTTTTTTTTTTTGATTTTTTCATATATTTAAATAAATTGAGTGGCAATCTTTAATTCATATTGAGGTATTGTTATTCATGGTTTAGTATAAATGTACTATGAATGACAAATTGGTATATAAACTTGTTGCCTTTAGTGTGTATTAAGTTCCAATAAATTGAATGTTTTTGGGACAGAGGCATCAAGTGTGCAATACATTGTACATAGCAGTCATAGCTAGCAGCTTAGCTAATTCTTATAGGGCTATAAATAGTCTTTAACTATTTGACTATTTGTTATAGTATATTGATAACAATATACAATATAAATGTGTTAGCTAGCTTATACAGGGTGGGGCAGAACTGATTGAACAGTTTTGAGGCAAAATAAGAGTAATGGAGGTACATAAAGAAGAAAGTTTATTTTCCTCAAGATTAGCATAACATATCATTTAGAATACTTATGTTTTGAAAACAATATCAGGAAGATGGGGTTTGTTAGCTGCATCACACTGTAGGAGTCGTTCTTGGAAGTTACCTACAGCACGTTCACACATATGGCGAGGTATGGCCATAACCTCTGCTGCAATAATCTATTCCCTTAGCTGTGGAGGGTGTGAGGGCTACTTCTGAACCCCTTTCTTTTAGATGTCCCCAAAGAAAGAAATCGCAAATGCCTAAATCAGGTGACCTCGCAGGCCACTGTAAATCACCCCTCAGAGTCTGGGAACATGCGTTTCAAAACATTGAGTGACATTCAGGCTGTGTGAGCTGTAGCCCCATCCTGCTGGCTGCTGGAACCACACGTCTCCCAATGCTTCATTTTCAATAATGTTTTCGTCCATCATGGGCTGCTAGAAATTTTGCAACATTGCAGCATAGCGATCAGAATTCACCGTTACGGTTACTCCCTACTCTGAGAACAACTCCACAGTGTGTTGCTGCTAATGGTCCCCATCTTCCAGATATTGTTTCAAAACATAAGTATTCTAAATGATATGTTATGCTAACCTCTAGGAAAATAAACTTTCTTCTTCATGTACCTCCATTACTCTTTTATTTTACCTCAAAACTGCTCAATCGGTTCTCCCCCACCCTGTATATTGAGAGGTTGAGATTGTATTGACCTTTTAGGCAATTAGAAAGATTTTCCACCCTAATATGAGTATTCTAATTAAAATATTTAATTTCAATCTTTAAATATGTGAATTTAAAACTAGAAACAAAACAATTACAATTATAAGGCTATATCTAAAATTATTAAATGCAGTGAATGGATATAAAATATTTGAATTGTGCACATGTTTATTTCAAATAGTACCTATTAGATTTTCTCATAACTTAAGTCTCGTTTCAAGGCGTATGAGGTTTGTTTGGTTATCGTTCAGTTTATGTTTAGTATTGGTTTATTGGTCTGATTTAAATGGGAACAGTGCAGTCAGTCACTCAAGTCACTGCTAGTCGGTGTGTATAGAGGGTAGACTCTGGTAGATTTATAGGACATAAAACTAGTAGATCTATTGATAGTGCTGTGCACTGTGCTATCAGCTACCTATCTGTTATGTTACTCTTCAATGTTTAGGAGATCTGCATTCCTGAAGTGTTTTTGTATATTGAAGCCAGTTAAATGGTCAATATTTAGCTCATTACCTTGCTCCATACAAACTTTACAAAGTTAATGAATAGACTTATCAATAATTGTTTACCCGAAAATCCCTAAGTGGTAAACACCACCTTGGCCTGTTGGCCATTATTGAAGGCAATAGGTGTCCTTTTTAGCCATCCATTATGATCCATATACTGTTATTGTTAGTAGGCTAATTGCAACATAAAAAATAACACTTCAAAAAGACAAAAAAGTTGAAAAAATAAAAAAAAATCAAATAAATCAAAAAAATCATGAAAAAATAAAAAAAATCATTGATTTTTTATTTTTTTTTATTTTTTTTTTTTAAAATAAAAAAAAAATCGCCAACCCTGATTTCAATTAAAATAATGTTAATCAATATTAATTCCTTATTTCTTCATACAAGTATCTGCTAAAATTGTCATTAATTTATTCATTGTATAGGTATGTGATATGATATACATATGAATGACATATACTATAAATGAATCAAGTATTTGTATGAATATAGTAACTGTCCCATGCATTTTTTATTTATGATAAACCTAATGCCTAATGATAAACTATGTTTTTAATTTTTTATCATATTGCAGATCTCTTGCATGATGGCTGAATCACCAGGCAGCAACACTGAAGACATGCAGTTTGGCAGTGAAGGAGATGCCAACTCAGTTGACTCATTTGAGAAGCAGCTGCAACAACAAGAACTTGAACTGCAGTCTCAACTGCGGGAGCAAGAGCTAGAACTGGAAGCAAAGAAAGCTGCAGCTGTTGCAGCCTTCACAGCTGAAGCTATGCAAGAGTCTGAAGAAGCCAATTCTGAAGATGTTCCAAAGCCTGTGATGGCTCCCACCGGTGTGCCTGAGCCTGTTGCTGCTCCTCAGAACTGGCCGGTAAGAAATTATTTATTTCTCCGTCTAAAATTTATATATCTTAGTTATTAAAAATTGCTATGAACACAATCAGCAGGGGGACTCATCTCAACCTTCACTAATTTCAACTCTTCTGTTTTTTTAATAGCATTTAATATTTCATATTTATAAATATTATTGAAATTTATTATTTAATAATATTATTATTAATAATGATGATTTATGTATATTACATATGATTCAAGTTAAATTCATAGAGAGGTAGATATGTTTTGTGGTATTTTTAGTTTTTTACCTGCAGGTCTCACTCTTAGATTAAAAGTGTAATGTATTACAAGTCCTAAATTCAAGTGCTAACAGTAATAGTTGGGGCACATGGCACAGCTTCCTCAATATGCATCAAAACAAATTTAGGGCATATGCAGTAAAGCATATTTAGGTTTTTGCTTAGTTGGTTCCTATGACATCCTTCTACAGGACTGGCTCTTGTGAATCTAGTTGTAAATAAGGTTAAGGCCTTGCCTTTTTCATGCTCATCAGGTAATTTATTTTCACAACTGCTCCTTTACAATGTATATATCTTTTGAGTCAAGATTAAAATTCATGCATATTGTTAATAATGCAAAGTGCACAGGTATTGCTAATTTGTCAATGTGCTTTCCACTCTCAACACCTGATTTTTGTCTATTAGTGTACTAGGCTCATCTAAATTAGTCTGCTGGCTTCAAATGCTTTGCATTTAAATATTTGACTGCATTAAAATTGCTATAAGCGTAACAATTTTGACTACTATCTAAAGCTTGTAGTCAGAAGAAAGAAGTGTGGAATTCATTGCAAGAACATCTTTACTATCATGAACAGTTCAACTGAATTTTATTAACCGTTCTATCACGGAAATAGTAACATTGTACTCTCTACATAGGACAGATATCCTGAAAATTATTAAACTTGAATAGTACTTACAAATCCTTTATTTCTTTATTTCATGTTCATCGATTAATTCATTCAAATCAAGAATTCAACTCCTTTTGTCAGAAAAATGACATGAGGTTGTAAAGATGACAAGATAATTGAAGATATTCAGGGGAGACTGAAGTTTATTTTTGCTCGTCAAACACAGTGCAACTTGAAGCACTCACAGACACCCTAATTTGTTGAACCTGAGTCTTTGTGTCTCGTATCAAATCATCTACCAGTCTTTCCTTGTCAAAATTGTATTTTCTGGATGCTGCTTGGTATATACCTGTATCAGGAAGGATATAAATCTTTAACCTGGCCCCACAGGACATTAACACCAATGGCAGCATGCAAGAGTCAGACGTAGCTGAAGTATCTATGGAGGAGGCGACATCTGGAGGAGAGGAACAGGCAGACACCCAGAACAGCAGGAGTGCTGATGAGTCTGAGGGCACTGCTGTGGTGGTGGGTGTGAAGAGGTCTTCACCTTGCACTGAGGAGACTAATGAGGAAGACAAAAGCAATGCAGAAGCTGATGAAGAGGAGAAGCAAAGAGCCGCTAAGCAGAGGAAGATTGACGAGTTCACCAAGCTTTGGAATGCTGCTACTGAGAACCCTAAAGACTTCCAAGCTTGGACCAACTTGCTCCAGCACGTGGACCAGCAGGTGAATAAGAGTATCTACAGACACAGTTACAATATCCTTTCCAAAAAAGTGAATTTTTTGACCATTTTTAGATCATGAATGGTTCTTTATTGTGTGAAACTAATTCTTATTTCTGTTCTAAAGAGTAAATCTACAGTTGCAAGTAAGAGATTAATGGTTTAAAATTCGTACTGGCTAAGGATTGTCATGAATGAATGCACCAAATTATTATCATTTAGTAGGACTGAACTTTAACCTGATCTACCTTGTGTCCACTAATGTTTACTGTGCGATCATGTACAAGAGTCTATCAATTTTGGGTGATGGCATTCTTTTGTGTGTATTCTGGTTACACTGGATTATTTAGTAAGTAGCTAATCTTCATAAGTAGCCTATCTTCATAATTTCCTCATAATGCATTTATTTTGGTGTTGGTATTCAAATTAATGGCATAAAGTATCCATGGACGAGATAATGCTAACATTCACAACTGATTCCACAGGCTATAGTTGGCTCGATCTTTGCAAGAAATAATGCAAAGGAAGGCTGAGACGACAGTTTCGAGGTGAAATTACAAACACTCCTCAGTATCCCGGCGGTTTGTGATTAAAGTTTTATGAAATGACTCGTATTAGTTTCGAATTGGCATAAGAATTTCTTGTTTCGTTTGGAGAAAATGTGTCACCCATTTGAGGCAATTTACAGCCTGGTAATAAAAATTTTTGTGACTGGATAATTTGTATTATCCATGTGCTCGTGCCTGACTGTACGTCACTCTGTTGAGTGAACATCTAATGATTTTCTGTTTACTCATCTCCGGCCTTTCTCCCCTCGATGAAGCTGGCTCCTTGAATCTAAATATATATTAAATAGTGTGATTGCTCCGCAGAGCGACCTGGAGTGTGGACGTCAATCATACACAGCCTTCTTTGCCCGGTATCCCTATTGCTATGGCTACTGGAAGAAATATGCTGACCTGGAGAAGAGGAAAGGCACCAAAGAAACCACAATGCAGGTAATTAAGTTAGCCTTTATGAACAAATTCATAGCCTGGATTATCAAGCTACCGATGGAGTAATTGAGCAATGAGTTGCACACGCTTCTGCTGAACTGCCAAATATGTGATTTTTACATTTTTAAGCGGCGACAATTTTGAACACACTGAACCATGATTAAAAATCTTATTGGTGATGCTATGATGTGCATGCAAAAAGGGGTTTTTACTGCATTATGGATTGTAAATATTCACTTCAGATTACAACATATTAATAGAAAATATAATTCCCTTACAGGGCTAGATTGAATAATGACGGTATTTCTGCATCGAGGTTACAAAAGTTTGTATCCATCACTTGGAAGGCTGTGCCACTAAATTTTTGAAAGCTGTGCAATATCTGTTACATATTCATATCTAATACAGTTGGTTGATATTGAGCTATATCGTGTGTGACTGTGTTGAGGGCGCTAAATACAGGTACTACATAACTTGATGAGCGGGAGAAGAATATCACAGTATGGTAACGGGAATGTCTTATAGTTGGTGGTGGTAGGTATAGGTAGCTTTCGATAGTTAAGAGTGTACGGTGGACACCTCAACCACGACAGCTGTAAAAGTCTTCATGCAAGGATTTGGACATCTCTGGCACGTCCAAGTCTCTTCTGCCTCCTTGCATCTGCTGCCTCATTGCTACTCTGTGTGAGCTGACACTTCCGTGCAGTAGGTATCTTCGTCCCAGAATTGCTGCTACACTATTGATCTCCACATAACCTAATGTTCAAATCTTTTCAAAGGACTGTGTTGCTTGCTGTCTTGCAAGGCTTCATCCAAATTTTCTCGTTACTGCTTATTTATTATTTTTTGCGTATTCCGTGTTGAAGTAAAAGACTTCTGTCATTCAAAATCTGGCCAGATTGGGTCTGCAATTGAATTACCTAGTTGTTTCTAGTATAATTTATAATAACTCATCCGTGCGCCATGCAAGTGCAGCAATTAAAGCATGCCCTACACTGGCCTTGAATCAGATTGTTCTGTGGTTCTGTTAATAATGTCTGCCGAAAATGTGTCCTTTACTGCGCTGATCATACTCTAGCTCTACGTGATGTTTGTGTCTCTTTTACATGTGCCTGTTTTCCTGACAATTTGAATCTCTGAACTGCCAACAGCCAAGTCAGGTTCTCTGCGACGTGTCATCCATAATCATGTGTTTATTTTCAAAGCAGGAATAGGCTATTCTATGCAAATGACTCATCAGTTCTTTTCTTCACTTCTGTTGCTGTGCTCTTCTGTCCGCCTCGTCTCGGCCACACCTGCTGCTGCTGCCGATACAATCTGAAGGTGTTTGAGGATGGTCTTGCTGCTATCCCTCTGAGCGTTGACCTGTGGGTGCACTACCTTGACTACGTCACACACAACTATAATGAACCTCAGGACGAGCACTTCGTGCGACTGCAGTTTGACAGAGCTGTAGAAGCTTGTGGCATGGAGTTCAGGTGAAATGTGGATGATGTCATACCTCTCTTTACCTAATTTATTACCTCCAATTGATTATCACTCTTTGAATTCGCTCTAATTTGCGCAAGTGCCGATGATTATTGAAGACTTCTAACAAAAGTTAATTCATTGGCTTCACTCCATTTCCTGTGTTTATTGTTCTAATTCAGAAACCAATTCCAGATCTGATAAGATGTGGGATGCTTTCATCAACTGGGAGAGCAGCAACAAGCGTTGGCTGAGGGTGACGTGTGTATACGATCGTCTACTAGCTATGCCTGTGTCCAAATACCTCACCCATTGGACCAAGTGAGTTATTTGTGTTGTGTCACGGTAGAAGCTTTCTTTAACAACTTTGATATAACCACGTGAAGAAAGAGTATGCACTTTTTAATTACTTTGTAAATGTGGACATGCAAAAAATGATAGCCTTGCCTACTGTGGTTAAATAATTAAGTTCATGCGTTAATTGCTCTATTTTATCAAATTTACTTTGTGCAAATTTTAAGTGACTTCTGAATCTTACATCCTTTGACGCATCGAAAAAGTATCAAGCTTTGATTATCATTAATACCGGAAAAGCTCTATTAATATTAACTACTATTTTATAAGTTCCAAGACCGCATCTGTTATATTAATGAGCAATTATTCTGACAGGTTCCAAGACCACATTCGCAAGCACCCCGCAAACGAGGTGATTCCAGCTGAGGAGTACCACACTCACAAGCGCAGCCTGCGTGTGCCTTCTGAGACCAATGCTGATGGAGAAGACGCTACTGCCGCTGCTGCTCCTGAAGACGATGGGATTGAGGCTCCTCCGGGTGTAGAAGATGATGGCCTTGCCTCAGCTGATGCTGATGAGACTACGATCTCCAATGAACCTCCTGCTAATGTCAGTATTTCATGAGCTATGAATGTTTTAAAGGGCGATCTGGGAATAATGGGAATTTTGAATCTTTTTCTAGAATGTGCTACGTTCTTCAAGACTGTTTTTGTAAGCTGGCAAAATGGTACTTGAAATTCTTTTATTGAGCGACCAACTTGCACTTCAATTTATTCAGTAGACATTGATAAAGATAAATAAAATTCTACATTATAGTTTCTTGCAATGAAACCTTGCAGCTTATATTGCTTCAATTCTGAAATATGTTTTAAAATACGCAACAAGATGGTTTTCTATATATATGAGGATAGCTAGAATACAAGTACGAGCTAAAATTTCAGATCAAGTCTTGGAAACTCCTTGCTATTCTGTTCTGAATGGCATCAAAATTCTGTATAATACGGAGCTAGTGTGAAATTCCCATGCATCATTAAACTTTGTGTTGACTCGGTTACTCAAATTTAATTTTCTTTTGACAGGAAGAAGAAAACAAAAGCATACAGCAACTGATCATCAAGGCCCGTGAGGTCTTACACGAGAAGAGCACTGCTGAGGTGAAGAAGCGCTGGAGTTATGAAGATGCTATCAAGCGACCTTATTTCCATGTGAAGCCTCTTGAGCGCTCTCAACTTCAGGCTTGGCGGGATTACCTTCACTTTGAAATAAAGCAAGGCAATGAGAAGCGTATCAAGACTCTCTTTGAAAGATGCCTTATTGCTGCTGCTCTCTATGAAGAGTTCTGGATGAGGGTGAGATTTTCGAGCTCGTTCAAAATTTGAGCATTCATTTCAAAATTAAATTATAACAGCCTTAGATTCTACTGGTCCGTATTTGTTTAGCGTTGTTTGTTTTTATTTGATGGCAAAAAAGTATCCTATGTTTCTCGACCCAGTTTAATTTATCTACCATTTAATCTGGATCTGCTTTTCCACGAGCCCATTTCTCCTCCCTTAAGTTTTTTCACTGTATGATTAATATTATTCAAATTAATGTAATGTTAATTAATGAATGACCCGTTTCAACCCACATTTATCAATGAAATTCCTATTAATTTTCGTTGTGAAGTTAACTTCAATTTTATTTAATTTCAAAAAACATCTAAATGTATAAGAGATTACTATGTGCTATGATTTTTGAAATTATCTTTTTGGCTGCAGTACCTGCATTACCTGGAGGGTCAGGAGACCACAACTCCCGAGGAGCTTAGAAGCGTCTACGAGCGCGCCTGCAACATCCACCTGAAGGACAAGCTTAAGCCTCATCTCAGCTGGGCGACTTTCGAAGAAGAATCTGGTCAGTAGACATGATACTGGTGTTAATTTTTCAATTACATTACTTGACGTTTGTGTCAAGACGCTGACGACGTAGGAACAGGAATATTAACTTGCATAATTCTTGATTTCTTGCGTTTGTAGATTTGTTGATAGGTTGGTTAGTGCATCATTTTTTTTACTTGGTCCTGTCCTTGAGGTCATTTTCATTGTTTTTATAAATTTGGCAACGTATGCCAGGTAAGCAGTTTTATTTTTCTCGATGCTTGCTTGTTGTGTTCCTCTGTGTACTGGGAATGTATAATTCTCAAATTTAGTTTAATTAATACATTTCATCTTGCGAAGTGAGGAAATAACGCTGGCAGAGCTCGTGGCTGTTGATTCATCAATGATATCTGGAAATTTTGATTTGACTATATCTCCTCTTTGAAGGTAACGTGAATCGAGCCCTGGAACTGCTGTCAGATCTACAGGCCAATTTGCCAGACGCTCTTGAACCTCACCTTCAGGCCGTCGCTGTTGAGCGTCGAAGAGGAGATCTTGAGAAAGCTGATATGCTTTTCAACTTCAGTCTTGATATATTCAGAAGCAAAGAAAAAGGCCTGTCGCTGTCGTATGCCAATTTACTGGTGAAATATGCTCGTTTTCTGACACTATTTCGCGAGAACAGCGCTAAAGGAACTGAGCTGCTCAAAGCTGAGTTGGAGGAGCACATCAAAGGTGAAACAAAACCCGCTGAAAATGACCACCAGAGTCTGGAAATGATCGTGTGGGCACTGGTGGAGCAGGCTATGGCCTGTACTCCTCCGAACTTCTTAGTGGCAGCTGAGGCTCTAAAAACTGGTTTCTCATCTATCTTCCAACCACGTACCAGGGTCGCCTTCGCACACAGATATCTTCAGTTTGTGTCCGAATGCGGGCATCCCGGTGTAAGGTGAGGCCTTTGGGAACATCTTGTGGCTCCATTGAGAGTGCAATCAGTTGCTGTCAGTTAGCTTGGGATGGGAACGAAGGTATATTTCCACTGCTAAGAAAACTTTTACATACTTTCGTACCATAGAAGATATGCAGCCATCACAGCTTAGCGACTCACGTAGAGTTGACATTTAAATTAGATTTCCTATATTAATAAACATAATTCAGATTTTTCTAACGCGTGTTAATCTCTACAGCTTGAGCCAGGCATCTAAAATCGTCCGAGAATTGAAACTAGAACTGCGTCAGCAAGGCATGACTGCTGAAGAGAATGCCGAGGATTCCCAGATGGAGAAACCTGATCAATCTGATCACTCCAGCAGGTATTTTGCATGCACCTTACTTTGTATCATTTCAAAGCTTTGTTTGATAATTTTTTATTGTTTTTTTCATGGTTTTAGTTACTTTTGTAAGGGCTATAGCATTTTTGATTTGTAGACTAATGTAATTCTTCTTCCCTGAAGAATTGAAAAATGACATTGATGGAATATTAAATAGTCCAGCCTGCCGCTGATAGCTGCGTATTTCTCGTCTTCATTTGTTCGCCACTTGAAGAAACTGAAAATTAGTGCAGGAATTATAGTTTTAAATATCCTAGCATATGGCCAGTACTAGTAAAAGGTTAACATCCATTTTAGGTAGATATCTATTTCGCGACGGATGTACGGTCTTCAGTTATGTCAGATGCATTTAAGGGGAGCGTCTGGGTCCAAAATCGAAATTTTGCCTTTTTCGGTTTTTAGTCTCATCTTAAAGCTTACATTCTATTTCTAAGCTATCCAACGGTACCAAAACCACCTCTGTACGTTGATTTATGCGTTCAGGGCAGATCATGAAAGGGAGGGAGGTGGGGGAGTTCTTTCACAAATTAGATAGGTGAAATTAGCCACCGAGCACTATAAATAGACTGCTAGAGCGGAGCTTCAGTAGCCCGACTGGCGTCCTACGGGGTGGTGTGCTAGCAGTCGCTCCCACCATCCTCGACAGGAATCATGCTCCAGTAACGCTTAGTTTCATAGCCTTGCTACATTGATTGGCTATTCCTATGCGCGCGGGACTTTGTCGCGCTGTCCTGAAAAGTTAACTTTTTGTCACGGCAAACCTATCTCCTCCTAGAGTTTTGAATCTACAGCAATGTGAGATATACCATTCGATTCGTAATTAAAATATGTATCAATTCGTCGTAGTTTTTTCGAATTTCGTTATAGTTTTGAAAATATTTGAGGCGGAAATTGCAAAAAAGCAAATTTTTCGAAAATTTTGGGGAAAATGCTCCCACATCCACAAAAATTCGAAATTCGAAAAAAGCTACGACGAATCGAAAGATATGGTCCTTACGCATTGAATGATATGCGTCTCGATGTTGTAGCTTCAAAATCGTAGGAGGAGATAGTTTTCTACTGTACCCCCTTTTTGGCCGTTTTCTAAGAATTTCACGTTTTCTATCATTTTTTTCGAAAAATTTGCACGAACAAAAACGTCTTAGAATTCTGCTTTATATATGTGTACCAAGTTTCAAGACGATCCGTCTGTAAACAAAAAAGTTTTTTCCCCACCCAGACGCTCCCCTTAAATGTCTGGTGCTCCAGGCACAGCCTGGTCCATTCAGGCGCAGGAGTCCGCTTTTAAATTCTCTGCTCTCAAAGTGCAAGTCTGCTCCAGTTTCATCACCTCAGTTTAATCTAACGACTAGTATTTATTTATGTATGCGTCTCGAGTTTTTTTTATCATGAAGCCTAGTTGAATTTCCGCAAATCTAATGTGTTTGAATTGTGCAGCTCTGACCACCGTCGCGATAAGCGGAACAAGTCGTACTCACAGAGCAGTGACAAGCATTACTCACAAGGCGGTCACTCGGGTGGTCATCAGCACAACGGTAACGTCGGTGGTGGAGGCTTCAATCAAGGTCTGGGTGGTGGCATTAATAATTATACCCAATATCCTCCCCCCAATGCCGTTGGAGGCATTGGAGCTCCTCCACCACATCAGCCTCCTCCTCAACACCCACCTCCACAATCTCAGCCAGGTGGCTACGGTGGTGGATACAACCAGAACTACCAGCAGTCTGGATATCCTCCTCAGCAACAGTACCAGGGTTGGGGTTACCCTCCTCAGCAGCAGCAACAAGGCTATGGCTACAACCAGCAAGGATGGGGCGGCTATCCTAATTACTACGGTCAAAGATAGGCTCAAAAAATCGTTTATCGTCCTAGGAAGTTTCATTGGCCGTAATTACCTTCCTTTCGAGTGTCATTAATGTATTCGCCTAATTTCGTTACATTTAATTGGAGGTGCATTTTAATTACTTTCAGCAAGATATTGTGTGAATAGTATGTCACTTGAATAGGTTTCATGTGTCTGCACTTGTATGTATTCTTGAACAATGTCGTTCTCAAGCTACATTTTTGTATTGTAATGCTATGTTCCAACCGTTTGACGTTTTGTGATACGTGTAGAGCGAAGGCTTCTGCTAATATATCTTGATAATAATGCTGGTAATTTGAATCTAATTGTGTTGAATTGTTAGGGTGAGTCATTTTCCAATTGTAATGGAAAGCTGTCAGTCGTTCGATCTTTTGTGAAATCTCTCAAAATTCAAGTTTCATGTAGCCCATTTTCAACTATCACTTGCCTCACAGTTCTTGCATTCCAATCTTATTTGTTTGTGGAAACAAGTCTCGCCTCTCCCTGCGCATATCTTGAGTTGGTAGTTACCTACTCGATTAGCTAAAAGTGTACTTCTAAAATGTCTATGAATTTCTGTCAATCATACTTGCTTTCATTTTCCCAAAAATTTGCTATAAATTTATTTTGAATAGAAACTTATAGCAAAATAAACTCTGCCTTGAACTCCTTTCTTGTACACGATATTACGGCAAGAAACCAGAATCTCAAGGGGGAAATAGTGACCTTTTCCATCAGCAAAGCGGCAGAGGTGCTGCCCTAGACAAGAGCAAACAGAAGGAATGAGCGGAAGACCAGATATTCTGCTGCTACTCGAGAACCACGGGGTTCGATCAGATCAGAGGTGAAAAAACTGCGCCAACCCGAACGAACATACTTTCTACACCAGTTCTTGAACAGCTCAAAAACCTCCAATGTAGCAGCTAGAGACGTCCGGTTTGAAGTAAAGACGCAATGTATGAATAGAACGGACGTTGAGGGGCAAACCGACAAAGATTACGGATTGCAAAAAACTATGAAGTCTCTTAACTCGCAATAAAGTGATTAAGACCTGCAATTGTCTAAAATATCTTCCGCGCAAGAGACTAAATAAGCGCCAATATGGGACATGACTCGCCCAAGCTATTCACATGAAGACTTTACTAACCGAATCAACTCGGCAAAAAATGAAGACCGTGTAGCGCACTAAAAGGGAAGAGCAATGACTAATTCTGACCTATGGCTTCTGTCGTAGCATTTACCAATCGGCTAGACGCACTCTCAAGTTCGTAAGAGCATCCCAAAGCAGCGGATGTGCTACAAATCTCAGGGCAGTGCAACTTCCTGCACTCAGCTGCGCACAGGAACATAGAAAACCACCACGAGCACGGCCGATGAAGTGTTACAAACCACTCACTGCCTGCTCCAACGCATGCTTCTACTTACAAATGGATGAAAACCAAGCTATGTTCACTAAATAAAACGCATAAAGCCGGTATTTCATTTGAAGTACCATTTTTGAAGGAGTCTGGCCCATCTCAAATACTGAACTTCCAAGCAAAATGAAACCGCAAGCATGCAGTTAACAAAATGGATGGGACTACCCAGACAAACTCATAAAACAACCCATTATCATTATGCTAAAGAAAATAATATACATTTAAAAATTACTTTTTAAAGACAACACTTCCAAAGAATCCAGTGTTTCCAATCTTACAGATGTACAATGAATTTCTCATATAATTTTCGAATATTAATAAAATTAATTTTTCAATTTTTTTAGTATATAAATTTTTTTTCTAAATTTTTTATTCAATTAATTGATTCATGCATTGCCTCTGACTTCACACAAGTGTGCAAATTTCAGATCAATTAGACAGGTAAAAGTATGTCAAATATCAGTTATAAGATTGTAGCTGACAAAATTATTTTTTAAATTTTTTTAATATATAAAATTTTTTTAATTTATAAAATCATTTATTTTGACATTTGATTCATGCATTGTCTCCAACTTTACACAAGTGTGCAAAATTTCAGATCGATAGGATAAGTAGAAGTGTGTTAAATTTTGATTACAAGATTTGTAGCAGACAGACAAACAAGAAGTGAAGTTAAAGAGAAGTGTTGTAATAAAATGTCAAAATAAAAGATTTTAAAAAATTAAAAAAAATTTTTTCAATATTAAAAAAATTGAAAAAATAATTTTGTCAGCTACAAATCTTATAACTGATATTTGACACACTTTTACCTGTCTAATTGATTATATATTAAAAAATGTCCAAATAAATTTTTTTAATTTTCGAAAATTAGATGAGAAATTCATTGTACATCTGTAAGATTGAAGATACTGGATTCTTTGGAAGTGTTGTCTTTAAAAAGTAATTTTTAAACGTATATTATTATTAATATTGAAAAAAAAATTTTTATTTTTTAAAATATTTTATTTTGACATTTGATTCATGCATTGTCTCCAACTTTACACAAATGTGCAAAATTTCAGATAGATAGGATAAGTAGAAGTGTATTAAATTTTGATTACAAGATTTGTAGCAGACAGACAGACAGACAAGAAGTGAAGTTAAAGAGAAGTGTTGTAAAAATCACAGAACCTCGTAATAAACCATACTCCGCCTAAATCGAACCCACACTCGCTCAAACACCAAATAAAAATATCCACCAAAGAACCCATTATATCAGCAAAATAACACTAACGAATGCAAATCAACCCCCCCCCTTCGGCTGATCCAACACTTGCTAAAATCCCGACTTCAAACTCAACTTCTCCAAAAAGGAGACCCCCCGCAGATGCCGCACATAGCAGAGATTAGAAAAATAAAATCTACAGCACCGATTTGACTTGTGTGAGGCCACTACCTGGAACAGGTTACTGAAGTTACCAGAAATTTGCCTCCCAAAAAATCTCACTTTCAGCTCGGTTCGCGAGCTCCAATGTAAATAATATGCGTTTAAACATTACTTTTTAAGGACAAAACATCTAAAGAATCCAGTGTCTCTAATGTTACAGATATACAATGAATTTCTCATTTTATTTTCGAATATTAAAAAATTAATTTTTCAATATTTTTAATATATAAAATTTTGTTTCAAAATTATTCATTCTGTCAATTGATTCATGAATGGCCTCCGACTTCACACACGTGTGCAAAATTCCAGATAAATTGGACAGGTAAAAGTGTGTCAAATATCAGTTATAAGATTTGTAGCTGACAAAATATTTAAATTTTTTAATATTAAAAAATATTTAATTTATAAAATCATTTATTTTGTCATTTGATTCTTGCATTGTCTCCAAATTTACGCAGGTGTGCAAAATTTCAGATCGATAGAAGAAGTTGAAGTGTGTTAAATTTCGATTGAAAGATTTGTAGCAGACAGACAGACAGACAGACTAACAAACAAGAATTGAAGTTAAAGAGAAGTGTTGTAAAGACTGGAATTGAACGCGATCGTGTCCATTTGCAGATGTGAATCAATCAACATAAGCTTAATTGACGTATTTTCTGGTGAAAATTGAATTTTTCTGTTTTTACGTCGACTTAATCACATCTTTTCAATCGAAAAAATTGACATTTGAGGCAACCTTGTTGACATTTGAGGCAACCTCCAGAAAATGATCGCCAATTTCTGACTCAAAAATATACGGTTATGTGTTTCGCATAGCTCGCAAATCGGTTTAATTTTCCACGGCCAGGAGCCAACTATTTGGAATGCTCTCACCAAAACACATCTGTCATCAATTAGTTCCGACTGAACAAGTTCGTAACATTTATAAAAGAAATGAAGTTTGCTGATGCCTTAACAACGTTTAAATAGTTTGCCGTGTTTATTTGTCAATGCCGCGGTGAAAAAACGTTCAGTATCGATTCATCGAGTATATAGAATATTTGTTAATAAGATGAACTTTTAAGAATACAGAAGCTGTTTGTTTTGCAATGATGCATCAACGAACTTTGATGGCCTAGGATCCGCACTTGCCATTGTATACATCAACGCACGTTCATGTATCATTTCTAATAATTATATTATCTAAGAAGAAGATAGAGCTACTATTGAGTACCGCACCGGATCTTCTGTGATGCTAAGATGCAGCCTCAATCATGTTCGGTTGTTGCAGTTGGCTCGGCTTCTACTTAGAAATCCTGGTGAAGCTTAGACGCAGCGCGCGTTTAAAGTTTCAGTTCGATAAATTTATTCGGGATCTTGAAGTAGCACTTTAACTGGCTGCTCTTATACCTAGAGCTCACGTCATCGGTTACGGTTCAATCATTGTTGATCCTCTTCTTTGGAGTTTGACAATTGGACGGTTATAAATAGCTGCGGTGCATAGATTAGCAGCATAACTTTTATAGCGATAGCTACCCGTGGCCCTCTCTCACCTTCTTTAAACTGTGACGTCAGTCACGTCACATGAGTAAACGATGTTATGAGTTCGTATCCACTTGAAACCGTTGAAACCTTTGCAATAGGTTTTGCATTCCTTAGTCAATTTGTAGGAACTATTTTGGTCGAAATCGTATTAATGAAGTTTTTGTACTTATTCGCCACATGCACACGATTAATTATTCGCCATTACATACGATCACTTATTCGTCACGTGTGAGCGATCACCTATTCGCCACATGCACACGATTAATTATTCGCCATACACATACGATAAATTATTCGCCACGTGCGAGTGATCACTTATTCGCCACGTGCACATGGTTATTTATTCGCCATAAATATACGATCGATTATTCGCCTCCTGCAAACGATCAATTATTCGCCGCAATCGATCAATTATTCGTTAACTATTCGCCAATCAATCTACTATAGTACTATTCGCCACTTGCAAACGTACATGTATAACTCTCATTGGATGTGCTATACTGATTTCTAAAATGTGTTCCAAATTCATGTAAAGAAAAGAGCACTTTTTGCCCTCATGTGATGTTTCCCTCATTTTCATGATGACTCCGAATCTTAATTCCGCACCAAGGGATGGGCAACTCAGACGTCGTCCACCGCATTTAGATTGGGTCTCTATAAACAAAATTAGTGAAGCCTCACATACACGACATACTTACGACATTCACCAGATGCAAACGATCAGTCACATGCAGGCTATATCAATCATACTGGTCATTTTTTCGTCACAGGAAAACGATCATTTATTCGCCACTTGCGATTGATCATTTGTTCGCCACATGCAGCCGATCAATTATTCGCCACATGTACACGATTAATCATTCGCCATACACATACGATTAATTATTCGTCACGGGCAAGCGATCACTTATTCGCCACGTGTGAGCGATCACCTATTCGCCACATGCACACGATTAATTATTCGCCAAACACATACGATCAATTATTCGCCATGTGCGAGTGATCACTTATTCGCCACGTGTACATGATTCGCCAATATACGATCGACCATTCGCCTCCTGCAAACGATCAATTATTCGCCAGAATCGACCAATTATGCGCCAACCAATCAACTATTCGCCACATACAAACGTACACGTATAACGATCATGTATCACCGGATCGACACTTCAGCGAACTCAAGCGCGAACTCAAGCGCGATCTCAAGAGGCAAACCTA